GAAGAAACGGTCTTTAATTCTGGTTACGACGATTCTCCTGCACAATAGTGCGTGCTGTCGATCAATACGAGTCCTAGGGATGGTTGTCATGTTGAATTTCACTGGTACTTCTGACAAAGTCAACGAAGCCGTTCGAAGATGACGCCCACGCTTTTCATTCGATCGAATTTAACAAGGATACGTATAAAAAAAAAGGATTGACAACCTAAAAATATCATCTGTGATAAAGTTTCCTAGCTTTCTCAGTTGAAATGTTCAATTTATCTTTTTACATTTTCCAATATGTACATCTCAACATATCAAGAGTTCAATATTTTTTTTTTTTTTTACCTTTGAAGAATAATTAGAATGTTCTACCTTAGAAATAGTATCATTTATTTGTCCTAATTGCTTTTCGAACAATTATCTATCTGTTGAATTACTTTAGCCATTTTAGAGCGGCAATAAAATATTTGAACACGTGTGAATGTAAATAGAAACAGAGGTGAAAACAAAAGGACGTATTATCCGTGTTAGCCGGATCAATTAAAGTAGAAAATTTCACATGTCTCCGAGAGATTGACCGGTTTCAGGAAGTTATGAAAGTACTTAGGTGCGAGTCAGTCAAACAAATTCTCTCCGGCCTAGCGATAATTTGCAGCCCGTGAACGAGAGTCAACCAAACTTTTCTAACAGTTTCTAAAACATACCGGGGGCCGCTTTGGCCATGACATACATAAGAACCAGCCTTTCGCATCCTCTCTTGAAAAAACATCCAACGGTCTATACCCATAATTCATTCAAAGCCTCTTGCTTCTTCATCTACCCAGGGGGAACCGAACATTTTCTCAGCTCTTCTCCTCGAGAAAAAAGAGAACTGGTTACTTTGGAATGGGACTTTAATTCTCTCTTGATTGGAGTCATCGATCCCCTCTAACATCGTTCTTATGATTTACAGGTGAATTGTCGGGAAATTCCATTTCACTGTTCGGCAAGCAAGTAGGCGAGAAATCATGCTCTACAATTCTACCTGGTGTAATTAGTGACTACTCGCGCTAGAAATGTAGTATTTTGACTTTGTGTTAATATTAAATATTTCATTTTTCACGACTCGCCTTCGAATTTTAATTTTTACTGCGAGAAGATTTAAACGTTTCACTTAAGCATCACTTGTAGGTTAAATTAGAAATTTCAATAAATATCGTGGAATTTTTTCAGATTTTTCTTAAGCTTAGAAGAATATAAAATCAAGCTCGGAAATGAAGAAGCAGAGGGTTAAGAAAATAACTTGAAATTTGTAATACTTTAATTACATAAAGTAGCAGATATTCTTCATAGTTTAGTCACATTTGACCTAAGCAATAAAGTAAGAGACACAATGCTGAGAATGTTCCCTGCTCACCGTGTCAGACAAGGATTTCGCGTTGTTGCTGCATTGTGCAATGATTCCCAACTGTTGGAGGTTAAAGCTGGTTTCGAGGTTCGCGCGTTGCGAGAATCGAGGACTAATCGGTTCTAAGAACCGGTGGCCTAAATCGGCTCGCGTTAGGTATTCTCGAATCTCTCCCGATTCGACCTGCACGTGATCCGCCGAACGTAAAGAAGCCTCGAGCTAACGAAAAGAAAAGAAAGTAAACTAAAAAAAAAGATATTGTTTTCTCCGTGAACCGAATAACATGACAGGCATGATCTGAACGTTGGAATTTAAGAAACATTGCAAGTCATGCTGAAATTTTGTTGAATTCTGATTCATTCGGATCGACAACACGAGATAGAAAGTTGTTGCTTACATCATTCGCATAATCGATAGAACGTAACACGTCACCAATGCACAATCTCTCTGCTAATATTACCAAAAAAGAATTTTTATTTATTTATTTATTTATTTATTTGTTAATAAACGGGGATTAACCCTTTAGATACAGAATTTAATTAAAATAATTTAAAACAAAAACCTTCGTGCCTATAAGATGGTATTTGGTACAAGCGGCATTCAGAAGTCTGGTGTTACTGCAATAAGTTAGGCAGAGCATAGTCTCATTAAGCACTGATAAGGATAAGAATGAAACGTTGCAAATGAAATTTTTCTCCACGAATCGTTCGTTGGGGTGATCGATAAAGAAAAAAAAAAACAAAAGTCCCCTGTCTAACATTTTTTCGAACACGAAAGGACAGACGTCGCGGCGATCCCGCATACGAAATTAATAATCGGAAACGACGAATTAATGTTTCAGAGAGCTACCAGAAGTCAAAGTGGTCGAACGTTTCCGGCGTGGGTCGCGCGCGTGCACGCTTCGCTGAAATTTTAACGAGGCACGTGCGGAAAATTGCAACAGGACTGGTGCGCGCCTCGAAAGGAAGAAGGTAAAGAAAAAGGAAGAGAACGAAATGGATGTGGTGCATCGACTTGAACCGACTCGCAGCCCGAACAGAGCAGTCTTTCTTCGTCTATAATTCAGAAGCGTTGCGTGTCAACTTTCTTTGGATAAGGCTCGTCATCCACCACTTTTCCCCGCGATATCAGGGACAAGAAGGGACGATTTGAAGCCACGCGAATGCGACTGCGATTATAGTTAATAATTTCTCAATTAGATTTTTAAATTAAGTGGTCCATGGCCTGGAAAGAATCAATAGCGACAGAAGGACACGCGGAAAGTAGAAAGTCGAAAAAAAGAATGACGTAACTATAGCCGAACGTCCTTTAAAAAATAGGTATGCAATTATTTCTGAGAAACTGATTTTAATAAAAACGAATTTCATTTAGTCTTCTAATGAATGTTACCGATTCTAACGGTACCAAAACGTTTCTGAACTTCAAAATTTCTTTTATCTCGCATCTCATTGCGTCAACGTACGAAGCCAATGAATATATGTATATCTAACTATTTTCTCACTAAGGCTCTCATCCGCAAACAGTTAAATCGTATCATTTATCACCTAAGGTTCCCTCGCGGGAATCCGACCGGGCGAAGCGTGAACAGAACCATTTACCGTAAAGCAATGCCACGAAATCACAGGCCGGATCCAGCGAGTCTCTAACGAAAAGCCAAACTCCTAACGACTAAATCAAAGCTAGCATAACTGTACTTTAATAGAATGGTCCAACAATCTCGCGGCCGTTAGCTCCGTTTCCCCTCTGAGCCACCGGGATCTCGAGGCGAGCCCGTTCCCGTTCCCGTTCCGTTCTCGTTCGCGTAGCGACAATTCGAGCGGACCGGCCTCACCGCGCGTTTCTGCGTCGCTTACGAAAGAACGCCGAAAGCGTTCGAAAAAGGCCGTTCTCTTTTCTCGCCCCTCAGTTTCCTTGGTCTTTTCCTCTTCCGTGGACACAACGGCTCTCGCCTCCCTCGCTTCGACAGGTATCGCCTTTTCCCGTGTCGTGCGAGCCGTTCGAGCACGCTTAATGTCAATAACCGTGGTTGCATTAGTTGCCGGTTCGCTTCTTTCTTTACCGTCGCGGCTAGCCTGTCCGCTCGCTCATCTAGCAGCGATTAAAAATGGTTAAAGCGTAATCCGCGACACATCGAAATCTCTATGTAATCCATGGTGGACTTTGTCGATGTGTTTGTTGTATCGACACCCTCGGTGGCCCCGGTGTCGTGGCGTCACGCCCGGTGATTTGCTCGCCGGAGCAAAAGATGTTCCCACTGGCTGCACCGTCGCCTGCATCCTCTTTGTACACTTTGTTCACGCCGTGAAGGCGAGCCGACCGACGACACCGTCGTAAGGTAGAAACGTGAACAGGGAACAGCCAACATAGATCGCCTTTTGCTCTCTTTTTCAACGTTAGAAGTTTTTATCTCGTGCCGGGTCGAGGTAAAAAATACACCTGTCAACGGACGGCTACGAAATTTCCACGGACGGACCTGGTGACGAGGGACGACCCCGTTGACGATTAACCGGCGAACTTCGTGGTGACATTTAAGAGGGTATTCGACTTTAAACGACACGTTCTTTCTCGAAATAATTTGTCAACCTTCCAGAGAATGGGAAATAGAGAGGGTTGAATTGAACGATGTATCTGAGCGAAAGCACTCTTACTGCTCTACCCTTCGATCAATTTAGGAAAAATACAATTTTTCAGCTTTTCAAGACGCGACAAATGTTGATATTTAAATAAAACTTTTTTATGGAATGATTTAAGGTTGCATTCTTCTTAATCTTACCATTCCAATCGCCATTCGAAACGATTTGTAGAACACGAGAACAGTGTATGTACCTGGAAGGGGGCTACGAATAGAGGTACGAATTGCAACATCAAGAAAGCTCCACGTGCAACCGATGATGCAACGATCAGTCGTGCATTTTGTAACATTAGATCTGGAAGGCCTTTTGCCTTCCACCGAACGCACTGGCCCAGATAAAACATAGCCACCGTTTCGAATCCGTTAACTGACTCTCGAAACTTCAACCATACGATTATCGTAATCAATAATTACTCTTAATCGCTTCGATTTAATTACACGCGTGTACGTTGAACGATTCGGTTGTAAACACGATAGTGATATCGGCGCGATGTAAATAAGCAACAATTTCTCCCGTTTTGTTCGCTTTAATAAGCTTAATGAAATACGATTTTTGGAGGAATTATTTTCAAGCGTAGACCGCGTAATCGTACACGCGTACGACGCTTTCGCGATGAATCAAGAAACACGTGGTGTGTTTGCAATAAGCTTAGCGAACTTGTGTAATCGATGATACGTTTCGTTCCTTCTAGCACGATACGAGTCGGTTTATTATTGGGAAACGACTTAATCCTTCTTTGTTTAACACACTGGCTGTCATAGATGAAATACAGCCAGGTCTATGATACGACGGTATGAATTACCGATGATATTGTAGATTAATATTTTATCTAATGCTTTGACATGCTATTTAAGTGACATTTAGAATTTTTTTAGGAAAAATCGTAAGTAATTTGGGAGTGATTACTTTGTCCAAATCACAAAATATTAATTTCAGTTATTTTAAGAATTGTTTTTAAGAGAAAAGAATTAGATTAGATTGAAAGTATCACTCACCATCAGGAGTGGTAACAGTGCCAGCCTTGTTGATCTTCGTATTCCACATAGCAGGGGTGGTGGGCGCAGGGCTGAGATCAGGAGTCGGTGGATGAGCCGGTGGTAAAGGCATCATACCGTGGCCAGCTTGTCCACCATGTTGCATTTGATCCGAGTTTGAACCATAGTGACTACCGTCGAACCCCCTTCCCCCGGAATAAACCTCGCCTGACAGTCTTTCCGCCAATTTTTCTGCCCTCTCCCGATCGCTCAACGCTACCGGTTCCTGTTTTATTCGAAGATCTATGGAAATATATAATCGTTTATTTAATCAAAATTAAATTGAAACAGTGTTAAAGGGTTGATCGAAAAGGAAAGGGACGCAAGTCGCACCTTCGGCTACGCTTTCCTTGAGATCGCAATTGCTACGTTCCTCGGACCTCGCTCGTTCCAATTCTTGTTCCAGTTCCGTTGGCGTGTGAGGCGCGGTATGGGGATGCGCGGACGTTTCCGAAGGGTGGATAAACGGCTGATAGAAATGATTCTCCAGGAGAAGCGGATGTGGCGCTGACGCGGGCCGGAAAGCCGTACCGTCGCGTAACACGCTCGCCCTTCCTAAAGTATCGACGTCGCTCGGCGATCTAAAAGCATTCCCAAAATAAACGATATAAGGTTATATAAAACCTTCTTTAAAAATTTCGAAAACCTACATTCAACTAATTCCATCTTTTTATTCTTTCTGTTCGAATTAAAAAGATTTCGAAATTGCACCGTTTGTTGAAAATTTTTCAATAAATTTTAACAAAATGCTGTGTATTAATTGGTGTTAGTCATCATTGAAAGATTTATGCAAGATAAATAAATCCAAAGACCTTCATTCATTACGAATGGTGAATGATAATTGTCACTGATAATTTTCATCACGCTCATTAGCAGTATGCTCGAATACACGCGGGTTCTCGTTATAGGTGGTCAAGGGGTTAATCGCGTGACGATGGATTAATTGCTGCCGTGTGGAATGCGAGCCACGGATTCGATCGCCATTAGAAGGCCAGGAAGGTCGCGGCGGCTCCGTAACTGCGGTTTCATTTGAAAATTTCACGCGCGAGTCCTTCGTGCCGGTAAAAGGGCTTACCTCATCAGCCTTTTCTGCGGGCTTTCGTAATAGTGAGAGGTAGAGTAGAGGCTGGGCACGGTATAGGCAGGGGCGGGCGAAGGTGCCGGTGTGGGGGTTCTCTTCGTGATGTTTCTAACCATGGTTGCTTCACCCGCTTCGCCCAAATCGCTCACCTCGCCGACACCACCGCCGACGCTACCAATACCACCACCCACGCTGCCACCGACGCTGCCAGCAACGTTTCCGCTCACGCTACCGCTGACACCACTTCCGCTCTCGCCGCCGCTGCCGCCACCTCCGCCACCGCCGCCGCCACCACCGCCACCACCATCACCTCCGCCGCCATTGCCACCCCCGGCGTCCGTCGACGAGTTATTGTTCTCCGCAGCGTGCCTCTGCGCTACTGCCAGTTTCTCGTGTTCGATGGACAGACCCTTTACCTGTAATAAAATAAAAAAAAATGAAGTGTGAAAAATGTAGGAAATTAACGGTGTCGAGGATTTATACAGAAAATTTGGAATTTTTTAATGATGCAAGGCTGTTGTGTTACTGTATTTGTGTTTTTAATATATTATTGAGGGTTGAAAACAGGCTGAGTAAAGTTGGAAATAATATACTGGAATTTATAATATTAAATAACACTGAAATAGTAATAAAAAATAAATATCAAAACATATTTGATAAAATTTCAATTAACACCTGGATCACAAATTAGTGGGGAAAATTCCAAAAGCAGTTGAAAATTTGTTATCTCAAATAGTATAATAAGGAATATTGTCTGAGAGATGTTAAAGCATAATAGTAAGCATTCGAAAGAAGACTGTAGCAAGGCAATCTTCCACGGTCTTCGAAAGAACATTGACACGGTTATCGTTCAGTGTTCTCGCGTGGATGTTTAGAACAGGAACTGGTGGCCATTAATCGTGGCCAAAAATAAAAAAAGATGTTCCCCGAAGAATGTAAAGTACGCGTTCACGTTCGAACACGTGACTACTATTTAGGGCAATTATTTAAGAGAGATGGAATAAGTCGCATACTTGAAGGCATTCGGCTGCTTTGAGGAAAGAGCTGAGGGATTCCTGGGACACATGTACCTCTCCACGGTACATGAATTCGAGAAGGGACGCCATATTGTGGGCACTCGTCCCGTCGAGAATAACGATCAGTCCCGCGGGAGAAGGAGGCATTCCTTCGAACAGCTCTTGAAAGTGCTTGCTGCATGCTGCGAGGATTAACCTATGTGCCTTGAACGTTACTCCTGAAACACACGCAAAAATACAGACACGTTAGCCAAACCTTTCGCTAAAACATCAAAATAGTGTCACCAATTTCTCATCTTTTTTAACCCTTCTTCTTTCAACTCTCAGTTACCAGTTCCATAAATGATTTCTTAGGATCCTTATTTCATTGAAGTACCATTTTATCAAATTATTAAGTGTAGAATAATTTCTTAAAGCGTGCTTGGATGAAAATTGGAGGTGAGCCATTGTGACATAAATTATTCCCAATTGTTTGCCTTAAAATTATTCTTAAATCAATCGCATAGAATAAAACGTTGTAAGTACAACAAAGGACGATTACTTTGCCTAGGGTCGAACCAAGTATTTTCCACGAACTTTCAGTACCCGTGCATGTTTCTATTCTCTAGTCCTTTTTTCTCACGGTTTTCATGGTGCCCGGACACCGCGGGAATTTTGGCGTGCAAAGGAAGCGGTGACTATCGAACCCTTTTTTTTTTCCTCCACTCGTACTCTATTTCCCTCCGCGCGAGAGAGAGCATAAAGAAGGCAAGAGCGCCGGCTTGACGTGCGATGCCCTTTTCTTGCAGCCCGTTGGATATCTAGGCCATCTTCGGACACGATCTTCCGTAATTTACAATTCACGTACGCAAGTGTAACGTGCGCGTAATACGATATCGGAGCTCGTCTAACGAATACGGTGCCGCATAGGTTGTAGAACAAATCCGTGAGGAAAATATTTTTATCATCCCGTGTTCCCTCGCGAACATCGTCTGCTTAAACCACAACAAGAACATAACTCATGCTACACAGAGACGAAAGTAAGGTTCTTAGGCAAAGGAATATTTATTAATAATGACTGCAATATACAATGACTCACGGCTTTGAAGTTTTAACGCGTCGGCTACGATGGTGGTCGTTGATAATAATCTACGCCGACGAATTTAATATCATTAATTAAGAGAAGAAAATACATATTATACTAGGTATTTATTTAAGGTAGCTATTCAGTTTCTATCGAATGGGAGCATCTTACAAGCTCTAACGACAAACCTTGTCATCGTTCGATTATGCGCGAACCGAGGAAGATGAGAGGAGACGCAATAACACGATATCCTTCGAATAAGGAAATCAAGAGGAAAAAAAAAGGGGGAAAGACATGCGAGAACAGCCAGCCAGGTGGCCGAAACCACCTGCCTTTCGGAATGGCTCGCCTAACTAAACCGTATCGAGTTCTTCTAGGCTGCTTGATATTCAGAAGATTCCTAGAAAAAAAAAGCAAACCCTGAACCCTTTATAAAGCGACCTTCTATCTTCCACGTCAACAAACAATCGAAAAGTTTTTTCAAAAATTACATTTTCACTTTCTTCTCTTCATCTTCGATGGCTCTATGAGCCCTTACAGAACCAAAAACAGATAATGCAGATAAATTACGATGAGTCAAATCTACAGGGAAAGAAATTATGGTACCATAACAAGGATTATATGTGACCGTTCCAAAGATGGACTTTGGCAAATTGGTTCAGCCTATTTTGATTTTTATCAAAATAAATAATAACCTTTTACTTTTTTCATTCTAAGAATTCGGTTGTATGGAAGCTAAGATTTGCAACCCGCCAAATATAGCGTGATGCGTATCGTTACAGGTATCCCGGGGCCAAATATACGTTCATTTTCGATGTGTGGTGTACAGGGGCCAACGACCGAGCGCGTGTGCGTGTGTGGGCGTTTTGCGTACCGTGGTTCGCGGCTTATGCCACCGCTGATGCCAACAGCTCATAACCAAGACCCGGAAACATGTGCCTGGAATTCTCGCATCCTTTGTGTGGATCGACGCAGCGAAAATAATACGCGAGCGTGTTTTCGTCTAGCTATTTTCCGATACGCTCCACGAGGCCTACGAACTGTCTGTAATAACAACGTGGCGAGCCTTTTTGTTCCAGATTAACCAACGAAGATGAAAGAAAATTCTTCTGATTTTTGGTACCGGTGACCTTCAACGGATCGAAGAAAATTAACGCTATACGAGTGTCGTTGAAAAAAAATAATAAAATAATAAATGATCGATGACAACTAGCGGTGGGGATGAATCATCGAAATAATCGTGACGATCGTACATAGATGTGTACAATCGGCGGTAGGAATCGCTTAATGAAATCCATTAGCCTAAGAATGAGAAATTAATTCACGGTGCCCGCAGCCTTCTCGGCGGAGGAGAAACTTGCAAAATAACACGAGCGCGCGCAGTTACGCAACGGAGCAATGCACTCTTCGCGGGCAATCTATTCATACCCCAAGGCCAGCTGGTAAACATTTTAATGGACTAGGGTTTTTCAGTTTCCTACGATGGTCATCGTATCCTCTTCTATCGTAGACGATCGTTCTATTACTCCGCGCACGTCTAACGTTGCTATACGCAGAGAACCCGGAAGCGGCATAAATTAAACCCTCTCATTCCTGTTCTGCCGAAAATGACACCGATTCTTATCGGAACATTGATTCACCTTGCGGCGATGAATCGCGTAAACATGCAGGCATGCGGTGTATCTTTTATGGCGTAACTTTCAGAAGAAGAAAAAAAAGAAAAAAAAAACACCGCTGTCGAAAAATGTAGGCATGTATTAGGCTGTTGCATATCAAACGGCGGCTTTCGAAACATAGAAAGTTTGACACGATTCGATGACACGAATAGTACCTGTGTTATCAATTTGAGGCTTAAATTTGAATGAAAATTACAATTCCTAAGAAAAATCAACTACTTATTTCAACTTACGTAATAGGCTGAAGTCATTAGAATTCCAGTTTTATATTTAGAAGTAGATTATTCGTAAGTTTGCACTTGGTAGCTTCTGTACGCCTGGAAGTTACCAAACTTCCAAGTAACGTAACTAGTACGTAATACAGTTGACAGAGATAAGGTAATGAACGATAACGTTAAAAGTCAGGAAAGTAAATCGTTAAGCATCTGCGTTACGAGTGCGTGGTATTTGTGATATTCACACTTTAAAGAGCACACGTTTCATGAAATTATTAAATTTTCCATTTAAATTAACATAAAAGTTTACGCATCGATATTACGAGAATATGAGAATAATATGATAATTCGATAACCATAACTAACGTTATCTTACGGTTCTCGAACGTGGCATTAGATGAATAAAGCAGTATAACTGTAACTCTGAAAACAGTTCATAATTCAAACGCGCAACGCTGTTAATTCATACCGTCAACGTTTAAATTATCCCAATCAATCCTACTCTACCTCTACATGAAATCAAGCAATAGAATCAAAAGGAAACGTTTTGAGAAGCAATCCCATTCATCAATGATTAGTTACTCCAAACAATTAAGTGCTTGCTCAAAGTAATCAGAATGAAATTATTCCATAATGTATGTAACATATAAAAACATTTTTTATAACATGTAGTTAAAGGAAAGTATTACAAATATTCTTTACAAAATAAATTTATTACTATTATCTGTAAAAATACAGAATTAAAAAAAAAATGATAAATAGAAGAGAAACCCATGTTACAGTACGCCATATCAGACATGGCTGTTTCTACTGCAGCATTCTACTGAACGCGTTAGAAACAGGACACACCACTAAAGAGCCAAAATATATAAACCACATTTATCACATTATTTATGATAAATATTAGCAATCAGAAGATCATAAGAATCAACTATTCTTCATAGATACCATGTGCCAAGAGATTATTGACCCAAGTATCTATAATTATTATTCAGCATGAAATTGAAAAGCAAGAAGAGAATAGCAGTCTTACTACTCCGTTATTTCAGAAGTGAAAGCAATGAAAGGGTTAATAGGCAATAATAAGATCCGTCTGCATCCCCATAGAAAAGCATCCAGCTATCACGTACATGTTTCGAGCAGAGCTACGTTTTCCCTTTGTTCCCTATCGATTGTACATCGGTGATACGCTGTTGAAATTGCGTTCTAAGCCAGGCTGAAAGATAAGGAGTGCGATCCTAGCGAAACGAGCACGGTAAAACGACAAAGAAAAGAGCCAAGGGGCGCAAAACGACGGTCAATGGCCCGACAAGGTCGACGATGCAAAGTGCGAGAGCTAGTTCCCCTCCGTGGCTGAATTTTGCTACCAGATTCCTCGGGGCGCACACGCGGTGCGATCAACACATTGTACGCGCGTGCTAGAGCTCGTTTTAGAGCTGTTGAACGGGCCAATCGGCATGGTCGGCTTCCTTTGGTTCCGGCCAATGGCCGCGTGGGACCAAGGTCGATCGGTTCGCACATGTTCTCTGTGTTACGCGTACGTACGCTGCACGATGACAATCATTGAGCAAACACTCGATGAAGAGAGAGAACGAGAAGAAGCGAAGCGAAGCGAAACGAAACGGTGGAATTGGACGCGTGAAAATTGGACAGAGTGGAAGGGGTGGCCGTGAGCTTTGAAACTTTGTCGCGCAGCCGAGAAATCTTGATCACGTGTACTGTGCAATCGCACGTGGCTGCACGTGGACCAAAAAAATCCTCCCTTTTATTTTACAACCACTTTGCATTCCTTTAGAGAGCATGGCAGAGACGCGTGATTCTGAACCCTTGTCACTTCAACCGACAACAATATTGTCAAACGCAAACCATTGCACAATGATTTAGTAATTCAAAACTAAATAAAATTAGCTCAGTTGAAGATTAAAAATAATTATCATCATGGATTTGTAAATGAATATATATTAACCCTTGACCGACGGACCATGAAGAGAGTTCTAATTTTAATTTAATTTTCTATTTCATATTATTTTCATTTTCTAAATTTTACACTGTTCCTTTGAAAATTATTCTATATATTATTATGTTAATTTAATTTATTTATTTTCTATTTTGTAAGTTTGTATCTCTTGACTGAAACTCCCCTGTTCAAGGGTTAATGTCGTTGGTATCCACGCCACAGATAAAAATACTATTATTAACAATTTTTAATTAAATTTGCATTAATTAATTTAAAAAAAAGAAAAAATTCGCGCGTGTTTTACAGA